CTGTGGAGCTACTTTAACAAATATGTGGACACTTTCTTAAAAGAAAAGCAAGAAGCATCCGACTATCCGCACGGTTGTTCGACAGATGAAGAGAAAGACGTCTATATACAAGAATATTTTGAGAAGGAAGGTGTCTTACTCGAGAAACACAAGATAGAGTCTAATCCCGGGTATAGAGCCTTAGTAAAAATGATTCTCAATCCATTCTGGGGTAATTTGGTCAGAGAGAGAACTTACCGCAAACTGAAATCGTCGCGACAAGACAACGGTTATTAAAAATGATAAACAATCTAGAATTGGTAATTACAGGGATGCTACCCGTCAACGAAACAATGATGTATGTGAATTTTGTCTATGAAAACGAGTCACTTCTACCGACACCAACAGCTAACGTTGTTATTGCAGCCTACACAACCGCACAGGCCCGTCTCAAATTGTATAGCTACTTAGAGAGGCTCCAAGAGAGGGTTCGATATTGCGATACAGATTCCGTTATCTTTGTATCAAAAGACGGTGAATGGGAGCCAGAATGCGGTAAATTTCTCGGTGATTTGACAAATGAACTGGAAGGTTATGGGGAAGATAGTTAAATCAAGTCTTTTGTATCAGGAGGCCCCAAATTCTATGCATATCTAGTTCAAACAAGTAATAATGAGGTGAAAGAAGTGTGTAAAGTTAAAGGCATCACGTTAAACTTCAATAACAGCCAACACATTAATTATCAGGCTGTCAGAGAAATGGTGATGCGTGAAAGGGAGGGTCCAATAGTCTTATCATACGATGCAATCAGACGCACAGAATTTCATCAGGTGGTTACAAGGAAGGAGGTAAAAATGACTTCTGTTTGTAGCACGAAAAGACAACGTAAGAATGTATATAGGACTGTACCATACGGGTATGTAGCAACGAATAAATGAAATGTGATAGTCGTACCGAGGATAAACAATCGTGCTGTCAGCATTTTTTATTCAAACCCCCACACCCTATTCGCATACGTGTTTCAACTCAGTCTTGCTTGTAACCGATCCTGAGCAACACCTCATTATGGACATTGTCGTAGATGTACAGGGCTATAAAGGAGTCAATAAGCGTTTTATAGCAAAGGAAATTGCAGTAGTTGCTCTTCAAGGTGATTTGTCGTGTCACTGGCTTCTCAAATCATGTGAGTCGCTGAAAATTCCCTATAAATACAAAAAGGAGTACAAGTGGGTAACCACACATCATCATGGGATTGACTGGAGTGTTGGTGACGTAAAATTCAAAGAACTATTGCAAAATCATTTTCGTGGTCTGGTACAACGCGCAGAACGTATATTTGTAAGGGGGTCTTGCAAAGCAGATTTCATCAAGAAACATACAGCAAAAGAAGTTATCGACCTTGCAGAGGAAGAAGACGATGATTGCCCTCCCTTTCGCAAGATGGAAAAATCTTCGATTGTATCTGATTACCATAGAACGTCGATCAGTCCAAATAGCAAACATCATGTACATTCTGCTCTCATCCAAGCTCATCAACTTTGCGATTCGATAAATAAAAATCCTTCTGTTGATCTGTGGCTATGATAATAATAATAAAAATTGCTATTAACAGTATTGGTATTCTTGTTATTTATTACGCGTGACATATAGAACCTAATGCTTGACGTTCTTCACCATCAGTCTCGACCATGGATACGCGTTGGAAACACCCATGGACGTCTATAATAAGTGGGCCCACGGGGTGTGGGAAAACAGTTGTTATGAAAACATTTTTGCAATACCTTTCTTCAATGTCAGACACAAAATTTTCACGAATTCTTCCATATTATGCGGAATGGCAACCCACATATACACAATACCCAAACGCTAATTTAATAGAATTCCGTGAAGGACTACCGCAAAGTCGAGATTATAGTTCTGATACGCGTCCAAAATTAATTATTATTGACGATTTGATGCGTGAGTCATCGAACCATACCATTACCGATCTCTTCACCAAAGCTAGTCATCATAAAAATCTAAGTTTAATTTTCATAACCCAGAATATATTTCATCAGGGTCGTGGTCAGAGGGATATTTCCCTGAACTCGAATTACATTGTACTTTTTAAGAACCCCCGAGATCGCGCACAAATTTAACACCTCGCGCGGCAAGTTTATCCTGATAACCCCAAGTTTTTACAAGAATCCTACCTAGACGCCACCTCTCGGCCCCATGGCTGTATACTATTGGATCTGAAACAATCTACACTAGAAGATTATCGAGTACGTAGTTCTATCTTCCCAAACGACCCAAAACAGTTCGTGTATGTACCACGGAAGGGTATAAATCATAAGTAATAATCAATATACGGATCAGTATTTCTTGTAGCATGGCGACGCGAGGTATACACCCAGTAAAAAATTGACAATCGTCCTCCCGGCCCTTTGTCATTTGAATAAAGAACAGCGACAGGCGTTACTTAGAAAAGCTGATACGGGGTTAATACGGTGTATATGTGAGTGTGCATTGAACATTTTACAAGGTAATATACCAATCCGTAAATCTCAGAAAGATAAATTAAAGCCGTATAAAAAAAGTACTCCGTGCTTTGGCTACTGGTACAATGAGCCTATCAAGAAAGAAGAAGATCATCGTTCAAAGAGGAGGGTTCCTGCCTCTGCTTCTAGCACCTATACTCGGTACTTTAATTTCAAATCTCATTAGTAAATAGTAAGAGCAAGGCAATTCACAGAGATGGAGTATGCCGGGAAGATGGTACTTGTTCCGGAGGACAGGATTGGTGCCATTA